TACTATTGTAAGTGCAGTCTTCGTCAGCTGACTAGATGAAGTGTGCCATGTACAAGCTCATGGACCATTTCCTCTAGAGATGTGTCCTGCACACCTGTCACCACACCAGACAGCACTTGTTGCCACAATAAATTCTCCCTGCCTACCTGTGACCATAGAGTGTCTGACCCTTTGCCAAAAATACTCCAGGTCCACTGGGCTGATCTTCAGACAGGAGAGACAAGGCACACTAGAGAGTGCAGTCCTTATCCTCCATGTAACCTGGCACATATAGACAATAGCAAATGATCAGCCAGCACTGGCAGTACTGTGTGATCTATCTGCTGGTGAAATGGATGCTTACTAGCAGCCAGTATACAGATCACAAAGTGTCGCTAGCGCTGACTGATAAGTTGCTATTGTCCATATGTGCCTGGCGAAATGCAGTATAAGGACTGCACTCACAATAGTGAATAATCAGTCGGCAATCTATCTGCCTGCTGCCAGTAAACATTTACTGTGCCTGCAGATAGATCACACAGGACCACCAGTGCTGACTGATCATTTACTATTTTGAGTGGTTATATTGTGATGCCTTGCCCCTGCTGCTGTTGAATGGTGGTGCTTGTCTCCAGAATGATACTGTTGTCAGAGACAAGTACTGTCAATCAGACACCATTAGTTATTTGTCTTCAAATGTCTTCAAATGTCTTGTGAGCAATATGGTCGGACCATGGTGGGGCAAGGATGGGGGGAGAATATTGTCAACCATGCTAGCTCAGGATCTGGACCATCTATCAAAAAGGAAAAAAAGTACTAAGTACTACATGCACTTTGTCTCTTAGGGTATAGGAGGAGCAGACAATATTGCTAAGACCGCTTCTTTAAAGGGTGACTGTTGTCTCTGCTGTTAAAAATGTAGCCTACCAAAAGTGCTAAAACACATTGAAGGGAATTTATCAAAACTGGAGCAGACAAAATCTGGAGCAGCTGTGCATGGCAACCAATCAACCTCTCTCTTTTATTTTCAAATCTTAACTGAACAAACTAAAGAGAGAAGCTGATTGGTTGCCATGCACAGCTGCTCCAGATTTTGCCTGCTCCAGTTTTAATAAATTCCTCCCTGTGTATGGATTTCTTATTTTTTTCTGTAAAATATATACACTTAAATGTGGAGTCTTGGCCAGACAAATCTGCATAGGTGTGTCATTTTGAAAATGCTGTATGCGGTTCTGATTTAGCAAATGAGGCCTACAACAGATTGTTAAAATTATTATTTATGGAGCCTGAACAATATTCCTTCTTTAAAAAAAAAAAATATTATATTTACCTGAAAAGCTCTATATGGTATTTTATTTTTAAACTGTGGCCTACTCCAACTGCTACATTGCAGTTTACTGAGTCTGTACAATATTTCTTCCTTTTTTTCTGTGAAGTATATGCACTTGAACTTCAAAAATATAAACATTATTGTGGATTTTTGGGATGAAAAGCTGTACGCTGTGTGTCCTTTGCAAAATGAGGCCTACTTCAACTGCTTCAATGATGACTTAGAAATTGCAGCTTAGTAAAAAGGATGACATGCATGCAAGGAGACCGTGCAATATTTCTGGCTTTTGCCAAAAGAATAATACACTTTACATTTTATTTCACAATAAAACTGGCCTCGTCTTTCCCTCTTCAGTTGAAGCATAGTAAAACTGCTTGCATAAAGTACAGTGAATTTGTACAATATTTCTGAATGTTGTCTCTAAAATAGAACTGCCTAATCACTGGAATGTGGAGTTGTGGTCTTAAAATGTTTTTGTGCATTTTGTTTTGACATTTTATTAAACTTTGAAGACAATGCAGTGTGGTACTGCAAAAAAAGATGATAAGCTATAATATGAAACTGCTTTGTCAGTGGCCAATTGGCACAAAGTTGAGGCCTTTAGCTTTACTTATTTTTTTTGGAATGCGTAAACTTTTATATAGCTTGGAGATCTGTTCTAGCTGCTCCATTCAGGCCTACTGTTATACATTTTTTTAAATAAAATTGTAATTAATCCAATTGGGTTGCTGCTGCTGTTTTTAAGCCAAGCAATAATATAAAAGTAAAATATGTGATGCCAGAATATTGAGTTGCTGGTGCGTCCCGTGTAAATCATACTGTTCAGTAATACCTCATGCAGCTTAAAAGGCATCTCTCAAACATGTATCAGAAAGAATTGAACAGTGTTTTTAAGTTAAATTTTTTTTTGCATTGTACATGTTCCCCATGGCAGTGCTCAGCTCCCCATGCCCATCGTTTAACAATCCAATTTACAATGAGTTTGAATTATGACGCGTGAATCAAACCCAGACCAATTTGCTTATCTCTGCTCAGACATGTAAATGTCAGACTGAAGCAGGAAGATTGTTCTCAGTCGGTAGTTCCTATATATATATGGAGAATTTGATCATCTTAAAAGCAGTAATTTTTTCCACTGCTTTGCAGAGAATGACATTTCAGTGAATTGCTAAGGAAGTGTATTCCATTATTCCCTCTAACAGATCCGTGGGCTGTTTGCTGGATGCCAGTGTATTGTTTGTTGTTTCTGGGCATTGCGTAACAATGTCCTGTTGTGTAGAGCAGATGACTCAAAATCATAAGGCTATAGTATGGGTGGAGACTGAGCGGCAGGCTGCACCAGCTATTTCATTAGCCCTACCCGTAATAAAAATAGCTTTCTTAAAGCACAGGCTTATTCAGCTACTGCAGATAATGAATCCACTGTATCTATTACACTAATAATCACATCTGCAGGCCTTTTAAACAGCCTTACATAAGGATAGTTGCATTCCTATGCTGTGATTTTATTTTATATTATATAATAGGATCATTAAAGAGCTACATGTTTGTCTTCATTATACTGTCATTATATAGGTGGGAGTCAGTGACTCAGAAAGTATTCCATCATCATAACAGTCAGGAAACTAGTAATTTCAGAAGAAAATGGCAGCTTATTCATATTTTTTTATGACAGGTTTCCCTTTTAAGGAAAAAAGTATATATTTTTAATTTCTTTATTCATTATGTTGACAATTAAAAAAAGTTTTTAAATACTATCTTTTTAGATGGGTATATAGGAAGTATCACATATGAACATTTCATATTATATTTCCAACTAGCAGGTGGAGTTTTCTCCTACGTTTTAAATTTTTCCAGCCTATCCTTTCCTGCTTTGCTGATAATAATTAAAACCAAATTTACACTTACAATAAGTTAAAGGAGTGACTTATGTCTCTTCCCTCCCCTTAATTGGCCAAGAGTTCAATATAGAGGGGGCTACAACACATCAACTTCAGGGACAAAATGTTCACTTGCTGCCTAATATATCCCACCCACTTTCACCTCTCAGTGAAAGGAGAGCACTGTGAACGGCCAGCAGTGTGGAGACAGCTTGCAGTGCTGTCACAGGAGGCTGAGCTCTCCTCCTGCACAGCCCGGCCCAACCTCCTGTGACAGATAAGCTATCAGCTGTCACAGGAGGCCAGGCCGGTAGTGCGGGGGAGGAGTCAGCTGTCAGAGGTAATGGAGATCTCCCTCGCTCAGTCTCCTGTGAAAGCTGATCCAGGATGGAGATCGGTACAAACACTCAGCGATCAATGATCGCTGTAGTGTTTCTAAATAATTGAGGCCAGAGTATGTTTACTGTGTCCTCAATTATAAATGAATGTGAGTGATCTACATTACTTCCTGTTCATTCATGATTGTGGACATTGTAAACATACTATATCTACGATTTATGAATACATAGGAACACTCAGTATAGAGGATTCCTATTAATTTATAACAGGGGATGCAGAAAAAGAGATTGAGAACTCTGTGTCCTCAATCTCTTTTTCTATTTTAAAAGGGAAATATCAGGAGTCTGTTTAGACCCCTAATATTTCCCCAAAGCCCCCAACAA